CTGAGTCGTCTTCTCACAGTGGAAGGATGGACAGAAACACCTGTGGATGTTTTCAGATCTGATCAGCTTGATTTTCTCCTCTCTCTCAGAGATGAAAGCTTTAAGTGCTGTTTATCTGATGGGGGCGGTTTTGGGGTCGACCAGCTCTTCCAGGTGGTTGTTAGGAGACACGTTTTCTCTGTAGCCTTTAATCAGTTTTTAAACTGTTTTTTTTTACTTATCTTCCTTTGATCTTTCTCCTTCCTCATGCAAGTGGATTTTCTATCTAATCTCCTCAAATATCGCCTGAAAAGTGAATAACTTGTACAGGTTTTTGGCTGGAAATGGTCTCAGAGTTTGTACAGTATCTGCACGTCAGAGCCAGTTTGTACCTTATACAGTGGTTCTGTTTGGGCTGAGTGTGTTGGAGTGTGTTTATAACAGTAGCGACACAAAGTAAAGTTCCCTGATGGATAATAATGTTAATCTAATCTAATCTAATCTGAGATGTTTGAAATGCAGCACTATATGATGATGATGATGACGATAACTGCCCCTCACCTGCTTCCAGTGCTGCTGTAGTGGACGCTGAGGCTCGTGCGTTGCTGTAGTTGTGCCTCATTTCTCTGAAGAAGCCCTCCGTCTCCTTCAGGTTCCTCCTCAGAAGAACCGCATGCTTATTATAGTTCCCAAAGACTCGCGTGAGCTCGCGGGCCAGAGGAGAAGCTCTCTGAGAACCACCGGCCTCCATACTGCGGGCAATGGGTTACACTTGGGGGGCCACCACTGGCTCTGGAACCTCTGGAACACACCAGATGTGTGTAGAAGGTTCTTTTTTGGGGGGAAATGAGGGGGTTGAGATCCTCGCAGCTTCACGTTAGAAACTCCATGGAGCACCAAGAGCAGAGAAGAGAGGCTGAGGAGGCTGAGAAGGTTGAGAAGCTTTTCCCACACCAGCCAGAACCTACTTCACCATCACATCACAGATGCATGACTTTCTAGACTTTTTCAGGAGTTTCTTCTCACTTTGAGCCCAAACGCATGGACCCTTTCAAGACCAAAAGTGGTCAGCTTTCTGCTGGACAGCTTCAGAGCTGCAGTGCAATCCAGCAGAAGTGAGAACCCACCAAGCAGGCCCGGATTAGAGGATCACTTGACAAAGGTATTTTTGGCATAAGTGAAAGAAAGAGAGGGAGAGAGGGAGGAAAAAAACAACGGAGACAAAAAAAACAATCCCAGAGAAACCTGCACTGCATACGGCCACTGGTGCACAAAGCGGAGCCCAACAAAACGCAAAGAAATAAACAAAAGCAAAGCTTAACGTAGCTAAGCTAGCTTTAGCTGAACTCTGGACAACAACAAGAAGTGAGACAGTCGGCTGGGAGCAGCACCGCGACCCGCTACTGGGAAACACGCACTAACCCAGCCCCGCGGACAGTCCGAGCGGGTCAGCAGCCCCGAATCACACCATTTAAGCTGGAAATCCGCCCTTCAAACCAGCCGCAGCCGACAGCTCTTCCTGGGATGCAGGATTTTTTCCAGCTGGACGAAGCTTCTCCTCGTGTGTCCAGACTTTATCTCCTTAACGAGCCCCGCGGGACCGAGTTCTGGTCCAGAACAGACCCGAATCGGGGCTACTTCCCGCTGGACACGCTGTCTTAATCACTGCAGAGGCTAAAATCTGAAAATCAGGGAGGCTGAGCGCAGCCCAGGCGCCGCGCCGCTGCCAGGGGGGATGTTTTGAAGGCTGGGCCTGCGCGGTGCACCGTGGGAAATGTAGTTCCGCCTCTGAGAAAACAGAGGAGCGAAGTTTTCGGTCGCTTCAAATGAGGTTATGAAACTGTAGACCTCGGATTTCATGTCTACAAATCCAGAGTCGTGGCGTCCGTTCCTAGTTTTATTCTGCGACCACCTATTTTTTTTATTATTCTTTATTAGAAACACTACAAAAATGGCTCAAAAATATCTGCTAAATTAAATTATTAAAGCACTGCATTAAATAATAACAGATCATGTACATGTCTAAGGTGGAACTTCTATATTATATTATATTAAAATGTGTATATATATATATATATATATATGAGAGCAGAATTTACACCTTATATGCTAGTCAATTTTATTTTTCTCATATTTTTCAATTTATCTAATCTGATAAATGACATTTATCTGATCTATGACATATACTTACATTAAGGTGGTGTGTAGTATATTATATTATATTATATTATATAAAGATGGAATTAAGGTAAAAAATATATATATATTTTTTATTTAATTAAGGCAGAATTTACACCTTATACATCAGTCAAATTCCTTTTATTATTAATTTTTATTTATCTAATTTTTAATTTTCATTTACTTTGTTATTAATGTGTGGACGCATGTATTGCCCCTTCATTTGAATTGGTTCAATAAAATTAAAAGGTTCATTATTCAGAGATGTAATCGGATGATTGTTTAAATAAAATTTAAAATACAAAATAGAGATTATTAGTCGCAGATTAACCCCCCCCCCCCAGTTATCTGGGTAACTAATAAATCCCTCTTTTCCTCAGCAGTTGAAATATCTGTCTGAACACGATGCTGATTATTTTTTATATAAACTAGACCTGAGGCAGATTTTGCGTGTTTTGCGAGCCGCTCTCGCGCACCTGCGAGCGACTTTTGAACGTGTTGTAGTCTTTAAAGCTCAGAAGTGAAAGAAAACAGCGGCGCTTTCGTTTCTGCTGTTTTCCAAAGTTCGCCTTTGGAGCTGAACGCTTTCCCTCTTTTCCCTCGTGCTTCGTGCGGGTCTGTATCCTGTTTTCGCGGCTGCTTCGAGTCAGAACACGTTTATTGTAATTATAAAGGAAACTTTCGAAATACTTTGAATTCCACCCGCCGTGACTCGGCGCTGGGGTCTTTTCAGGGCTTTTGTCTCCATCTGGTGGCGGTTTCTGAGAACTGCAGCTGTTTCTAATGCATGTTCAGGCATGAAGGCCCTGCTGAAAAAAGACCATGGACTAAACCATTAGAGCGCTTTACACTGTGAAATCAACCCATCAGGAAAACACAGAGTACCATCAGTGACTACTGGACACCATCAGAACCAGCAGAAACTTAATAGTGTCTTTGATTTTTTTCCAGCAGTGGGGTGTTTCACAAAGCAGGATTACTCAGTTTAGCCAGATAACTTAAGCCCAAAGTCAAACCTGACCAATAGGAAATAAGCTGAGAGATATTTCTATTGGATGATCCTCATCTTTGGGCTTAAGTAATCTGGCTAACTAAGAAATCCTGCTTTGTGAAACACCCCCTGAATTTCTAAATTAATCAGATTACTTAAGCCCAAAGACAAGGATTGTCCCTCAGCTCTTTTCCTATTGGTAAAGTTTGACAATCTGGCGAAACTGAGAAATCCTGCTTTGTGGCATCCACCCCAGGCCAGTAGGGGCAGCGGTTAGGAATCCTTTAAGGGGCTCAAATATTTGGGACAATCCACTGTGGATATAAACATCAGATGAACAAACTGCAACTGAATATGGACAAATGACAAAAATGAAAGTAATAAATGTCGAAATGTGAGCCTTACGTCTTGTTTGTGATAATGATGTAGAGTGTACGACTACTTAAATCTGGCTTTTGAAAAAATAAGAGAAGAAACCATGATTAAATTTGTCTCTGGACATACAAATCTTGCAGGATAGCGGACATTAATAAAGCAAATTTTGTTCATTAAAAAAAAACACATTTGGATTTTACAGCATGTACATGAACACAAATGTGGGCATTTAGTCTCACTTTTCAAGTCTTGTTTTATTTATTTATTTATTTAGTGCCCTGGGGCCTCCAAAGATTCTTGACCATATCCATCTGTTTGAGAAAAACAAAAAAATGATATATTCTTTTAATAACATCAATGATAGAGGCCTGACTGTGTTACCATAACAAAATATGAGCGAATCACTTAAATCATTCAAAGTAAAATGTTACCCACATTCACATTCACACATGCACATCTTTATATTAGATCTTTTCACAGATAAAGTACAGCTGGGGGAGAGAGGAAAATAATAACCAAATAAATAAACTGAAAAAGTAAACAGAACAATGAAACGATTGATACAGAGAAACATCAATAAAATAAAGGAGAAACACATTATTACTCCTGGTTTTTCAAGGGTTCTGTAGCTAAGAAAATGGCTCAAATGAACACTAAAAGAACCCTTTGCATGGTTAAATGGTTCTTCAGATTGATGGAGAATGGTTCTTATAGCACCAAAAAGGGTTCTGTTGTTACAATGTCAAACTTTTAACAATAGAAGAACCCTTTTTGGTGCTATAAGAACCATTCTCCATCAATCTGAAGAACCATTTAACCATGCAAAGGGTTCTTTGAGTGTTCATAGGTCTTCTTAACTAGAAAAAGGTTCTGTATAGAACCATATACAGCACATTCTCCATCGATCTGAGGAAACTTTTCACTTTTAAACTTCTGTTCACAGTTAAATCTGTTTTTTCTGTTGTTTATATTGTTTGTTGACCCAATAAAAGCTGGAATAGTTTGTCAAAGTTTTTTGTTCCCATGATGTTCTACTTAAAGATACACACTTAAAGATGGTTCTTCAAACGGTTGTTTAGTAAAGAAAAAAGAACCATGAACACTCAAAAAACCCTCTGCATGGTTAAATGGTTCTCTGCACGGTGAAATGGTTCTTCAGTTTGATGAAGAATGGTTCTTGTAGCACCAAAAGGCCAATCTGCAGAACCATTTCACAATGCAGAGAACCATTTAACCATGCAAAGGGTTCTCATGGTTCTACACAGAACCGTTTTCTTTACCATCTTTTAAAGTGTGTTATGAAACAAATTATGTATACAAAATGCCAAAATCAGAACACAGAGTCCGGGTTCTCACACGTCTTTCTCAAATACACGGATCTTACAGATCTGGCAACCCAGCGTCACCACAAAGCCGCGCCCACTCATGAATATTAATCAGCCAACTGGTCGGCACACGGCCCTGTTAGAAAGCAGCCAGTAAGAGAGAGAGAGAGAGACAGGCAGAGCGTGATACCTGTGCGGCTGCTTTAGTTCCAGGTCAGCAGACAGTCTGGAGCTCGAGCTTTGGTCGTCAGGCCTGCTTTGATGACCGTGCGCGGACCTTTGATGTGGTTTACTGAGAGATCTGTGTAGATGCGCGTGGACAGCAGAACTCAGGTAGGCATGGAGGAGAGCGGAGTCCAGTCAGCAGCTGTGGGACTCCACGCGGTGAACCCGGCCAAGCGGCAGGCGGTGAAGAGGCACCACCACAAACACAACCTCAAACACAGATACGAGTTCCTGGAGACTCTGGGCAAAGGGACGTACGGGAAAGTGAAGAAGGCGGTGGAGAGGTCAGGCAGGATGGTGAGTGACCACTGCTTAACTTACTTTGTGTGAATAATGAGGGATATTTTCACCAGAGGTGGGTTCTGACCCAGTCTGACCAGCGCACCTGGTCAGTTATACACCTAACCCAATTTAACCAACAGCCAAACCAGCTGTAATAATGGGAAAAGGCCATAATGCTCGTTCTAATGTGTGTGATGTGGTCAGATTTATGTAGTTACACCTTAGATGCGCACCTAACAGGACCTGTGTGTAAGTGTTTGTTTGTGTATGGTTCTCTATAGCACCAAAAAGGGTTCTTCTGTTGTTACGATGTCAAGTAACAGTAGCAGAACCCTTTTTGGTGCTATATAGAACCATATACAACACATTCTCCATCAGTCTGACGAATCAATGAACCATTATTCATGCAAAGGGTTCTTTGAGTGTCCATGGGTCTTCTTAACTAGAAAAAGGTTCTGTATAGAACCATATACAGCACATTCTCCATCGATCTGAAGAACCTTTTCATTTTTAACTCTCAAACTTCTGTTCACAGTTAAATCTGGGTTTTCTGCTGTTTATTGTTTGTTGACCCAATAAGCTGGAATAGTTTGTTAATGTTTTTTTTTATTTGTTCCCATAAAGTTCTACCTAAAAATGTTCTTAAAGGGCTCTTTAGTAGTGAAAATGGTTCTATATAGAACCATGAACACACTAAGAACCCTTTGCATGATTAAATGGTTCTCTGCATGGTGAAATGGTTCTTCAGATTGATGGAGAATGGTTCTGATAGCACCAAAAAGGGTTCTGTTGTTATTACGACGTCAAACTTTTAACAATAGAACAACAGAAGAACCCTTTTGGTGCTATTTGGAGCCCTTTTGGGGAAAAAAAAAAATATATATATATATTTTCTCTCTCTCTATAGAGATATATAATATATCTAGAGAGAGAGAGAGCACATTCTCCATTAAATTGAAGAACTATATAAAGATGCAAAGAACCATTTAATCATGCAGAGGGTTCTTTGAGTGTTCGTGGTTCTATATAGAACCTATTTCTTTACTAAAGAACCATTGTGTGGGGTAACATTCTCTAAGAACATCATCATGTCATATAATCTGTGGCCTTGACATCCTTAAAACGTCCTCTGAGTGTTGCAGTTAAAACTCTTAGTTGATATTTAACTTTATATGAACATTATTATTTGAGATCATAAACATCCTTAAAACCTTCTTTAAACATCAGATTAAAACGTTTTCTGTAAAACATTATTAGAACTTGGTGATGTTAGCCAAAGTTGTGGAGGCCATTCCCTCCTAACTGGGCAGATACTGAGTTTAATAACAAACCGAGTGATAAAAGTTCACTTTTTTAGCCAAACTGGGGGAAACAGGTCTTCAGATTTGAGCTCATAGCTCAGAAAACATTGACCCAAGCAATATTAATAATATCAGATATGGACATTAATATTATACTAATACTTTTACATGCGCAGACGCTGGATTTGTGAGTAAATAAGAACCATGTTCAACAGAGACGAGCACTGTTGACTTAATCTAATGTAAACACATGGATTTATTTTTACTCCTATTAGACCTGGTTTCAACCACAGATGGGTGCTATTACATTTACTCAGTGCTCAGTTCCACTGTAGTCATTCCTGTTCAGCTCCTGATCTGCCTCACTGTTACTCGCTCCTCTCTTTGGAGCTTTAGGGTTTCATTTCAGACCAAACTGATCAGAAAAGAGAATAATGGAGACTTTACAGGCTTCCCTTTCCTACACTGATCAATGCTGGATGTTTCACTGCAGTTCTACAGGGAACTCGGTTCTCCAGAGGATGTGCTGTTTATTACCTACTTTTACTTTTGTTTCAGTAATTATTTCATTTCCAGTAACAATAGTTTTTTTTTTTTTCCAGTTGCGTGTCTGCATGCGCTGTTGCTTTCATTGTAGCTCGGCATGAGTCACTTACGAACAAAAACACTAAACAAAAAAAAACTGGTTTTACTGTTCATCACCACACGCCCAGCTCTGAGAAAAAGCTTTAAATAGCCTGAGGGAACAGTGCAGCTCTGAGAACGGGCGCTTTTTAATCCTGTTCAAATGTCACAGATCAGCCCGACCCGGACCTATAGATCACCCTCCATCACGCTGCTGTAAAGGACAGAAGGTATAGATAGATAGATGGATAGATATTGATCAATCTTTACTGATGCTGCAGGGAAATTGTAGTGTTACAGTAGTAAGACATAAAACTGTACATAAACTTACATGTCGCTGTTGTTGGAACAAAACCTCGTATCTCCAAAATGGTAAATTTACAGGAGAAGGAAAAACCTACTTTACTTTTAATGTAAGTCAATGGAACCAGAATTTTTTCCAAGTAATTTTGAGTCGTTTCTTTTGGTCCGTTCATCATGAAATTTACACACAATGTAAATAGCAGCAGGCATTTTCAGATTACGTCAAAAACTGAAAGACGACAAAAAAAATGGAGACAGCAGCGATATACTCATCAGAAATAAAAATAGACATAAATTAAGGAGAAATAAAAAATTAGACATTAGTTAAAGTATGAAAGAGCAGAAATTGAAGCATATCTATTTGCATATTTTCATCGATAAATTTGCTGTACTTGTGCTTGAACTGTGCTGGAAGCAGGCACCATCATAAAACTGCATTTCAAGCTATTATTATTATTAGTAGCAGTATTAACTTTTTTATAGTGAGATATATTCTGCGCTCCAGGTCAAACAGATGATGTACGTTGCCAATTATAATAAATTTTTATTGCAACATTAGTTGTACTTCTTGAAAAGCAGAGCATCATCCCATTATTTTAAACCCAGCTGAACAAACTGAGAATCAAATTGGGCTTTAAATGGGGGGAAAAAAGCATTTAAAATATGTAAGAAATGACCACAGTCTAAAACGGCATATATAAAAACAAACCACATCATATTACTGTGAGCCTAATTAAGAGTATATTATTTCAGAAATGAGGCTAAAACAGTAAAAAGAGAACAATTTTTGGGCTGTAATGTTAAAGTTGACGCTTTGAGAGCTTATAGTTTTATCAGGCTCAAAGTGTTCGCTGTAAATTTGCATGGGATGTGCTGGAAAGCAGCCAAGCTGCATCATAAAACTACATATCATGACCAAAATAATATACATGTAATGAATGTTCAGCTCCTGAAATCAGCTCATTTGCATTTTGCACCAACGCTAGACACACTGTTGAAGGTTAAAGGAGTGATTCAGTAGGTTCCCTGCACCACACCACCCCCATTCTTCTTTAGTTTTAGTGCTGGAGCTACGAGGCTAATTTAGCAAACAAGTAATGAAAATTCGATTTTTCAGTGAACTGTTCCTTTAAAGCCGCCGACTTGCTGGCTGAGACTGAAGAGGTCAGGCGTTTAAATAAATAAATAAATGGATAAAGGCCGATGTGTCTGGGCTGTCCTGTCTGAATTGGATTAAAGTGTTAAACTGGATAATTCTCTTTACTCCAAGTCTGGCTTTAATGAAAGGCCAAAGCGCCGACGCCCAGCCTGCCGCCTCTGTGACCGTAACGCTGGACTGCACTGCGGTTTCAGGTTCTGGGTGAATGCGCTTTGATCATGTTGGATCAGCTGACCCATGCAAAACTTCAGTAAACAGTGTTATTCCAGGATGACCTGCTCAGTGGACAGGCCTGTTAGCGTTTATGATGTGGTGTAGATAACAGTGTCCTTCCTCAGCGAAGATCACAGAACGTAGGAGAGTAAATACTGACCTCTTCATCAGCGTGAGGTGGTTTGATCACATCCCACACGTCACCACTATCCAAACGAATTCTCTTTGGTGAATTTCCGAAAGACGGTTCATCCAGGGTTCCTTAGTAAATGGAAAGGATCCATTTAGAATCATTTCATACTTAAATGTTTCTCCAAATGGTGAAATGGTTCTTCAGATTGATGGGAAATGTGTTGTATATGGTTCTATAGCACCAAAAAGGTTATCCTACTGTTACGACGTCAAGCTTCTAACAATAGAACCCTTTTTGGTGCTGTATAGAACCATATATAACACATTGTCCATCAATCCGAAGAACCATTTCACCATGCAGAGAGCCATTTCAGCATGAAATGGTTCAACATAGAACTCATGGTTTTAGTAGGACCATTCCCTTTACTAAAGAACCCTTGAAGAACCATCTTTTTTCTAAGAGTGAAGTGGAGTATGGTTAATAAAAACAATACACCATTCACTCTTAAAAAAAGATGCCACATAGGGTTCTTATAGAACCCCCCTTGGTTTCCAAAAGAACCATTGTTTTGTAAATGAGATTTAAGGTTGTTCCTAGACATTATATGGCGGGTCTTTAAACTTCTAAAAGGTTCTTTGCTCTCTCATTTACAAAAAATTACCACAGCTGTCCATTTAAAGCTTCTTTATGGAACCAAAAGTGGTTCTTCTGTTGTGCACAGAATCTTTTTTTTTTTTAAGAATGTTGGATTAATACATTTTTAAAAAGCTTATTTATTTTGGCCAACATGTAAAAACTGAGCACACAAGTTACTTAATTCAGTATTCTAACTTTTCTAGTAGACAGATAACTGAGACTGTTTCTGCCAAACTCTGAACAGTACATGGCTGACGCTAGGCTAGGCTAGTCAGTGGCTAAATGCTAATAAGTGTTTGTTTTGTGTGTGGGATTTTTTTTTTCCTCTCGAAATTCCCCTAAACTCCTACTGCTGGGATTTTTCGGTTTCTCCAGTGTGTCCCTTGCACTGTGACAGAATAATCTCAGTATGAATCTAAAAGAGTCGGTGTAGTTGCTGCGCTGGCAGGATTGCGTAAGCGCCGCACAGACATGATCAGAAATGAACCCCGAGCTGATGGATGTGCGGGAGAGAGAACAGCCACTCCCTGTGTCTGAGAAAACAAAGACCTCGCTGGACGGGAAAGTTAAACTCCACAAATCGCACTGTAACCTGTCTAATCCCATTCGATTAGCATCAGATTCTCCACTTTAAAGCCTCGTTTTG